TGTCAAAGCAGTTTGGAGAGAAAAACAAAGAACAAAAAAAAAAACCAGAAAACGATTAATCGATTATTAAATTAGTCATCGATTAATCGACTAATCGTGGCAGCCCTATTAGGAATTTAACTATTTGTTTGATGCTGAGAAAAGATAAGTAGATCTGTGCTCTGTAACCGTCAGAAGAGGCCTGCTGTCCTGTGCTGTGTTTTTACAGAGGTTCTGGCTATGTTTGTCTCTGTGACGTCGATCTGGGCTGTGACTGTGGTCTTGATCTTCTCTGCCACTCAGAGGATTCTTGAAGGAGGTTATGACATCGACAGTCAGCTCATGCTCATCACTTCAGGTTGTGCTGTAGGAGTCAACATCATGTGAGTGTTYTGAACAACTTCCTGTTTGGTTAATTACAGACCAGTGGTGAACAGATCCTCTTCTTCTTAACCTCAGCATGGTTCTGATTCTGCATCAGTCTGGTGCCTCGCACGGCCCCAGGACCCCCACTAACCCACTGCAGGAGGACCACAGCAGTGGCAGTGTGAAGGCAGCCTTCATCCACGTGTTGGGGGACCTGCTGCAGAGCATCGGGGTCCTCTTGGCCGCCACAATCATCCACTTCTGGGTCAGTTCAGCCACATTTCCTCAGTGTAAATGACCCATTGATTCCTTTTCTTTACCTTTCACACCAGAGTTTTAGATCCAGCTCACCTTCACATTTTAGATGAAGTGATGGAGATGTTCTGGTCAAACCTAAATGACGTTCTGTTGGATCTCCTGCAGTGTGACATGTGTTAGAGCTCTGAGGAACAGTGTTGCCAACTCCTGAGCAAGAAAAGTCCCTATTGGCTGTCCTAAAAGTCGCTGGATGACGTCATCACCTAATTTTCATAGTTGGATGTTTGCCAATAATTGTGATCTGAGCTATAGGAGAGGTGATGAAGAGAAAAAAAGTGAATAAAAACACTAAATATGTATAGAACTGCAATTAAACTTAGTTAAATAAAAATAATTTTATGAATTTAATGCTTAGATCCACATAAATTAAATTTGTGGGAATCTTAAATTTAATCTGCAGACAGTTAGATGTCCCGAGGCACAGGGAGGAAGAGGTGAAGCAGTGAMTGATCTGTCAAACACAGCTGGGTCCACAGATTTAGTTTACAGAGACAGTACCAGAGAAAAAAAAAACATTACAATAATATTACATCCTGCTTTGTAAACCAGACAGAAGCAGTGGCAGCTTTGTGCATGCATGATTCATTTGCAGCGGTCTCTCCTCTCAGCTGACTTCAGCCGGGGGTGGGAGTAGGTAAATTTTAAGTTCATTAAAAGTTAAGTTCATTAAATTTTCAGTGGTTTATGAWATATTTTGCTAACAGACTCACAGACCTGTCAAAAACATTATTGCCTGTCTTTGTTTTGATAATCGGAGTTGGCTGAYGTTTTTCAGGTTAGACTGCCTTTTAGATGCAAACAAACTGGTACTAACTGTTTTCTCCTCACAGCCTGAATACAAACTGGCCGATCCGATTTGCACATTTCTGTTCTCGGTTGTTGTCATTGGAACAACACTTCCCATCACCAAGGATGTGTTCAGGGTCCTGATGGAAGGTAAGCTGTACCTACAGGTGTTCCTCAAACCCTGACTCTGTATGTTCATCAGAAGTTTGGAAATCTGTTCTCATCGTCAGTCAGTGGTGGGCACCAGCCCGATAAAACACAAGTCCGCTAATTGCGGACCTAAATATTTTGTTTGTGCTTTAGCTAATTATCTACAGTCATCATTATGTTGAACAGCAGAAGGTATGACTGTCAATGAATCACAACACATGATCTATCCAACAG